CGTTTAGTGTAAAAACCCAAACACAGTTTCGGATAAGCTGACGAAAAGCGCGAACCAAACGGTACGGTGGCGTTTTCAAAACGCCGCCCACACTTATAAGCTGCCCCAAACGGACCCTAAGATAATCAACTTTTTTTTTTTTCATCATAGATTGTGTGCTTTAATAGAGATTAGAAGATAACACGTCAATAAATTAAAGGGACACTTACTGACATGCTACACGATACATGTGAATTAACATTTCTAACTGTGTACTTGTATGCAGCTCCCATGGGCCAATGTATATGTTAGTAGAATTCAGGGGCCAAGAAGGTCCCACCGTTCTAAGGATTTTCCAGTCTCCATTGTGTGAGCTCACTTGTCGAAGTGACGTGTAGAACTCACTTGTCGAAGTGGCCTATCAAGCTCTATGTAACTACTCCTCTAGATTAGCGAACCACCGAAATAGAGAATATATCGCAATGCAAAAACATGTGTTCATGTCTATTTGAGGGCGTTGTCTGACATCAACTTCTCCATCTTCTCACTAGGACATTATGAACTGGCCTCATACGGTATGGTCTAATATTTATTATTTGTTTTTATTCCCCTGTCGAGGGGCAAGGATCGAGAGCCACAGGGAGAGAAACAAATTTCTGCACCCTCCAGTCTCAGGTCCTATCTCTGCATAAAGCGAAAAACTAAGGATGCAGATTGACTTTCACTCATTTTTTTCTCTTCTTCAACAGTACACTCAAACAATATCTCTCTCTGATTGTGTGAGCTCACAAATAATATGAGACCCTGCGCTCTAAGAAGATTCATCACTAATATTTGAATTTGATTGTTTACATTTCAAACGCTCGAATCTTTCATATCACATAAAACAAAACCACAATCACTAATTTTTTAAAAGTGAATAATTTTTTTTCATACATAGATATAGTGATATTAATGTTGTATACGAAAAAAATACGTCTGCATCAATCTCGAAACAATAAAAAAAAAACCTAGAAGACCTAAAGAAGTGATCGATTAGAAAACCGATTGTCCATGGACATCAATGACGAAAAATTGTCAGACGACCGACAGATCATAGGTTGACAAGGATAGCATGGAACGGGGGATCAAATTAATCAGACTTTGACAACATATCGAGGAAATGTCCCTCGAAACAATGATCACCAAATATTCCTGCCTTGAACTGAAAATTGACGGAGTAAACATCGAACAAACGATCAACCAACATCTCCCGACTGGATGAGTCTATCAGTCTAAAAGGCCAATGATTAGAGGGAATCTGTAATTTTGTAAAAGGTAGATCCATTCCTATAAATAGGGGTCAATATCATGAATAAATGTTACTTATTCTCTATTATTTCCTACTTTTCCAGTGTGACGTTTTATAACTTGGTTGTGTTTCCCGGACATTTTTAAATTCAACAAATGTCAATATCAAAGTTTAGGTGTTTGAAAAGTAAATACATAGGAATTTTGTGGCATATATGTAAATCTTCCTAAATTAAATAATAAAATAGCATGCAGTGGACATTATTCTTCAAATTAGTAAGTGGAATAGCCTATTTAATGAAATATGGACTTGAAAAAATATATATACAAGAGAAGTGAGAGGGCTAATAAATTATAAAGGTATTTTCATACATCATTATTTTAACTTCTAAATATTAAAATGCACATATTCATACATAAATAAGGTGTGCTATATAAAAAAAAAATGAAAGTCAAGTGTTATATATGTAAATACATAAAAACTGAGTGGTATGTATGTAAATTAACCATGCATTATTGAAATTTAGGATCTTGATAACTTCTAAAAGATAAAATTTTGGAGACTTATTCAAACTTGATTGAACATAAAAGAGCGATTATTTTGTGCGGACAACGCACGCAATTTACGTGCGCTGTCCAATAAGATTTAAAAAAAAAAATTAAGTGGGGCCCACTGACATACATTTTTGATAGAGAGAGTATATTAATCGGAGCGTGCTGTCACAAAAAAATAGTCCCACATCGGCTAGGTGTCCTTTTGGGAGGTGACGAGTGGGTTTCAGAGCAGACTCCTGCCTGCCAGGTGAGTGGACTCTCCATGATCTAGTGGGACCCTTGGTGGAGTCGATCCGTGACGAGGGCGTCACGTGATTGGGTGGAAGAGAATGTCACAGACAAATAGTCCCACTTCGGCTAGGTGTAGAGCTGAAAAGCAGTATTTAAGTCCTGGGCTGCTCACCTCTCTTATGAGCTCCTTTGGGAGGTGACAGTGTGGTGAACGTACGCAATAATTTTTCAACATAAAAATGCTGCTCATGCTTTAATTTTTTAAGATCGAACTTAAATAAATTATTTTTCTCTTAATATTTATTAAAAATAAAATAAACTTGATTGGGACTTCACATAAAACCAAGCTAAGTTCACAATTTAAAAAGGACTTCTTATGTTTTTACATATATCACCCTTAAACTTTCATTTTTACACAACACTTTGGTTCCTTAAATCTATACAAGAAAATGTGTATTGCACTTTTTAAATATAATAGTAATGTTATTTTTATAAAAATTTGAGGGCTCGGCATGTAAATATAAAAGTTTAGGGTTGAGAAATGTAAATAAAATTTATTTTATTTACATCACGACTTCTAACGTAGAGCTAAGTTCGTAGTCCACTCATATGCGGACACGTGGTGGTGACAGAAAAATATATAAAAAAAATTGTTTTAGCGCAGAGGAATATTTCTCTCGTGTTATTCTGCATTATTCAAGTGTTATTATGGTGATATTGATGTGCTATTGTATTCTGAGAATATTTTTGGTGTTATAATAACACAATAACATATCAATATCACCACAATAACACCTGAATAACCCGAGATAACCCGTGAAAAATATTCTCCTGTGTTACCGGGCCGGATCACAGGAAAGCACGCGCTTTTTCTTGAAATCGCATGTCTGCATACGAGTGGACTTCAAACATAATTTTACGTTATGAGTCCTGATGTAATATTTTTTTGTTATATTACGCAAGACAAAATAAAAAATATATATAAATAAAAAGTTGGGAGCAATTATTTTATGAAACTTACGCACATACCACAAATTTAAATATTTACCGTGTTTCTATATTTATTTGCATATATATTTAAAGATTGATTTGAGGCTATGATACGAGACCCCAATTAACCTCATGTGTCTAACCACTCTATCTCGTACTGAAAAGCAGATGCACTCAGACGTGCTCAAACTCGTGACCTGAGGGCACCCATAAATAACAACACAAATGCCAACCAAAGAGTCACGACACACGTCACTAGTAACAATAAGAATTTTTAATATTTTCTTAAAACGTGGTTCAATCTATCTTCATCAAAATTTAACAATAACGTGTATTAATTTTTTTTAATTATTTTTTCAAGAGTTTGCAATAAATAAAAAATTTAATCTGCTAATTTGGAAATAAATTTAAATGGCATTGTTATATATACCCCACAAGTCTCCAGTATTTACATATAAAACATATAAACATCCCTGTCACATTACTGAACTGAAAGATCTATCACTAGGGCCTGTTTGGGGCAGCTTATTTGGTGTGGTGATATTTTGAAAACGCATATTTTGAAAACGCACTTGACATGTTTGAGTAAACTGCGTTTTGGCAGCTTATGTGTTTTCAAAACACAGAAAACAAATTTTCACATGAGCTTATTAGCAACGGTCTGGTTTTTCAAAAAAATAAAAATTTGTAATAGCGACCGCACCTAGCTAATCAGCAGATTATTTTTAATCAGTTTATCAACGATTATTAAATAAACTACAGCTGTCCCAAGCAGACCCTAAATAATTAAAATCTCAATAAAATAATACCATCATTATTTTTTAAAAAATAAAATGTGCATTCTCATGCATATATTTATAAAACTAAGGTCTTATAAATAAATATTAAATCACGGGTGTTACATATGTAAATATATAAGCATTGTGTGAGATTTATCTAAATGCCCCTAAATTTAAATATTGCCTGTATATATTTAAAAAGGAATGGCTAGAGGCTATATTTAAAAAGGAACAGTCGGAGGCTATTAGACGAGTCCTGATCATACCTAGGTGTGTTAAATATTCGAGTACCATTTTCTACGTGCAAGGGGATTCGAACTCGTGACCTAATGAAACTTACGACCTTCAAAGAGGCTGCTCTACAAACAAACCATTTTACATATATATATATATATATATATATATCTATATTATGCATGTATAAAAAGCAAGAGAAGGGGAAATACCATCACAAAGATTAAAGATGAGAATGATAACTGAATTTTCAATCAAAAAGAGATCGAGAGAACAGTGCGGTAAAATACTTTGAAAAATTGTTTGGTGATACACAGAATAGTAGCAGCATAAAATATTCCTTGTTGGTCGACCATAGGGAGTACATTGGGAACAATTGGGAACAATTGATGCCAATAAAACAGCTGGTTCAGATGGTTTCACTGTAGACTTTTAACGTAAGTGCTGGAATATAGTTAAAAGGGAGGTAACTGCAGCAACGAATCAAAGTTTCTTTAGAGGAAGTGACTCATGTAAATATTTTCTCTACTTCTACCATTAGACCACACAAATCACTCGTATCACATCAAATAAATCATTATTACAAAGAAATTTAATTTACATAAATAATCTTTATCACATAAAACATATCATTATTTTAATTTTTAAAAAGTGAAATATATATTTTCATGCATACATAAAATTACATATGTTAAAATTTTATTTTAGGTATTACTTCTTTTCGATTCAATATTTGAATCTTAAACCTCTCTTTCTACTGGTTCAATTGGATTACATATGTTAAAATTTTATTTTAGGTATTACTTATTTTCGATTCAACATTTGAATCTTAAACCTCTCTTTCTACTGATTCAATTGGTTCAATGTCAATCCAAATTTTACAACTTTGTATATAATTTCATAACTTTCCTAAGAGTATCACCTAAATTACTCGAACACACATTACAAGCAATTCTTCATCGTCGCCGGCGACCAAGCGGAGGACGAAACAAGCCGCCGCCACTTCCATCTCAAAACAAGCTTATTAGAACCATCTTCTTCAACCTCATATCCATCACCGAACAGCTTAACCAGCATTAAAGCTAGTGAGACATTGAACCCACTGAAACCCACTCGCCGGAATCCTCCCCCCGCCATCCACTCCCCAACTCCTCCTCCTCCTCCTTCTTCCTCACAACAAACCCTACTCACTGCCGCCACGATTCTTGGAGCAAATATCTCCCTCTCCACCATCTTCCTCGCCCTCCTCTGCTTCTGAAACCCTTGTTCTACCGCTTCCATCATCACCCAATACCTCTCCATCTCATCCACAAACCTCCCCATAAACCCCTCTGCTTTTCTTCCCCCGCTTTCCTCCTCCACCACCGTCACCAAGCTCGCTCCGACGGCCGCTGCGCTGCTGATGAATGATTTGATATAGGCGGCGGAGCGGTGTGGAGCTTGCGGTGAGTGAAGAACACAGTTCAGTATTATTGCTTCCCCTTCAATCGGCTTCAGAGCAGCCGGCCGGAATCTCTGATTCAATCCGAGTTTACAATGGCCGAATGTGAACGGAAGGTTTACGGATGACGCAAAGGCAGTCAGTCTTTGCCCTGTTTCTTCAACCTTCACCGTCGATTTCCCGCCGGCAATCGCGGTGATTCGGAGACTGTGTGAAGTAAAGGTGCCATTTTTATCAGAAACCAGAGCTTGCATCAGCGAGGCCCATTGAAGCCCCTCCTTGACGTCGAAATCAATGATGTGAACTCGGCGGGATCCATTGACGGCTTCGAGGATGGATTGATTGGCGGTGAAATGGCCGAAGCTGGTGTACGGCGACATGTCCTGCATCAGCTGGAGAGCAGAGGGCTCGTCGCCGGCGGGAGGGAGATTAAAGGTGGGACCTTTTCCGGCGAGGAGGATTTGCAGAGCTTCGGTGAAGTGTAAGCCTAGTCTTTCGAAGATTGTTGCGGCGGATTCCGACGGGAGAAGCAGTGATTTGAGACGTTTCAGTATAACTCCGGCGAGCTCTCGCTGCTTGTGGGCGGTTCGGAGGGCTTCTGCAGCAGCAATGAGAAGGTGAAGAATGCGGAGGTTTTTGTGGTGGGGAGCGGTGGCCGGCGGTGGATGTTCGGACGGCAAGCTGGAGAAGATGGCGACGTCGAAGGGGTAGGAAGGGAAAGTGTCACCGTTGCCGCAGAAGGGATTAAGGTTTGTCGCCGGTGAGCGGTGGGCCGCCGTAACGTCGGCGTT